CTTAGCTGTCTTTCTTTTAGTGATTCCATTTGACAAGTAGTGTCCTTTCATAGGGTATCTGATTACAAGTAAGGATTTCAGACAATCTTTGACCACATTTAAACTCTTAGCTTAACACATTGATCACAGAGGAAAACACAGGTGTTACATCGGTGTGACAAAAGGCACATTATCCTAGGTGTTGATGCAAAACAACGAAGTTTCTCAGCTTGATCCAAGTCCCAAATTTTATTCAAGATTTATCGAAGATGACTGCTTTTGTCGCACAAGCTCCTTTTTGTAGTTTGCAAACGAGATAATCCGGAAACGATCGCTCTAACGAATGGACTGATAGTTGCTTCAATCTTGTTGTGGATTTAGATCTGCAACAAATAGATATAGCGTATCTGCTTATATGTTTTGTTGCGTTAACATATGAAGCAAAATGCACACATAATTATGATTAGCTTAGTTCTACAATGGTTTTAAAATGATTATACAGAGTTTATCAACAAAATGCGTATGCTGCATGGAATGAAGGAAAAATAAAGTCAAATTTTGTCGGAGCCAGTAGGCAAACAAGGTAGTTTGAGCCGTCAAGAAGTTGTCTCCTGAAGTACGATTGTTATTAACTTGGGTATGGTATGATGAACATCTATTAGATAAGCTTTTATAAGTGAGGAATTTTGTTAACAACGTATATTTACAACGGTCGAGAAACAACCGCTCAGTTGTGACGTAATAATGGCAGTTTCCATATGTTTGAAGCTTAGGTCCATAATGAAACACAATTCTTTATCTCTTCCGTCCTATATCATTCTAGAGGACGAACAGCGCTCTACCTATCTGCTCTCTTGTTTATTCCCATTTTTTGCTCTTTGAAAATTTAAAAGCAAACTAAGAAAAGAAAAAGAGGAGCATACACACGACTGCACAAACCGCGCAATACAGTGACGCAGAAGATGGAACTGATACAAAAGAAGAGAGCAAACCATTGGAAAATAAGGCTTTCTGACAACCTGATATTTCTAAAAAATACCAGCTGTAAAAGTAATAGCAGTGCGTAAATGTAATCCTTGGATTTATGCCATTAGATGTGCTTGTGTTGAAAAATATTAGACCCTCTATCTCATTCATCAAATCATCCCTCCATTTCAAATCATCTCTGCCATTGTCCACCCATAGTTGATCTTTTCCTCGTTATCTTTCCCAATGATTCCAGCGGCGCTGAAAAGTGAATTCTTTTTTTCTGCTCGCATACTCGTAACATTGCATCCTTTCTCCTGATATTCTTGTATTAGAGCTATTCATTTAAGCTTGCATTGTG